TGTAAATTTTACTTGCGATAGTTGCACATTAAACCCCAATGCTTTGCTGTGCGATATTTTTTTAGGTATAAATACGTACATAATACAAAATTATGTTTGGATAGACCTGCGAGAAACCGATCGCCCTCTAGTATTCGATCAGCCTAAGCTTTTATTTACATTCATTAGAATGTAATAATTTCATACGATACGAGCAATTTGTCTAATTATAAAAAATCAAAATTAAATACGATTAAGGAATAGATTTAGAAAACTTGAAACTCAAGTTAAAATGTATATTAAAACGCTCAACTAATATCAGTTAAAGATTAACCAGTTAGAAGTAAAACTTCAAAAAAATCCCACCATAAATTCAAATTCGAACGAACTGACGAATCCTCTTTAAAAATATCAAAATTATACAAAGACGACGAAAGAAAAATCTCCAAAAAATAAAACTCAATCAAAAAAAGAGGGAAAAAAGTCAACTTCGAAGCTTCGCTTCAAAAAGTATATCTCTCGCCCAGGGTAGCGTAGCGTCATAAATTCAAGATCCAAGCGAGCCGCGCGCGCGAGGCTGTCCTTGCCAATAAAAAAGTAAAAAGCTCGTCGTGCGCGCGCGATGCTACGACGGTGCATAAAAAAGTTCGCCGGAGAGAGAGCGAGCGAGTGTCTCTGCATCTTCGCGAGCAGGAATACGGTAGCCTTCCTTTTTTGCTCGGCTTCGCGCTCGTGGAGGGAAAAGGGCGCGCAAGTGGCTCGCTGCTATATAGGAAGCGACCGAGGAGCTGGCGAGGAAGGGGTTGCTATATATATATATATATAATACTGCTTCGTGCACAGACATAGACGTAGACACGCACACGTATATACATATACATAGATCGGGAGGAAAGTGAGTAGTGGTCTGGGGTGGGTGTACATCTGAGGTGGCCCAGAGCGTGGCCGCTGCGGCGCTGCACTATGGCTTGCCGCGGCGGCGCACCTCGGCGCGGTGGTGATGGGGTAGTAGTAGTAGTAGTAGTAGTAGTAGTAGCGTCGGCGGCGGCAGATCGCCGTAGTGAGAGAGAGAGGCTGAGCAGCGGACGGGGGCGTCGAAAGAGCCGAGGTAAGAGCTGCTGCGTGCACTACTAAGAGAGGTATATAGAGGGTGGGTGGGAGAAGAGAGTGCCAGAGAGGCTGCTGCCGCTGCAGCTCTCTGGGTTGCCAAGGCTACCGCGGTCCCGGCCAAGATACTCACCGAGATCTGCTGCTCCCTCTTTATACTCACCTTCCTCTGCCGGAGAATGTGCATACATATATTCCCTCCCTCGCACACAAACGTATATACGTGCGCATAACGTGGGTGCATGTATACACGAGCGGAAGTCTACCTCACCTATACACCGTACTATACTATGCGATGCGAGGTAGCAACAGCAGCAGCAGCGTATTTGCAGATGCTCGTACACATATAGCTATACATAATGTAAGAAACTCCCAGCCCATCGACATGAAGTGTGTAGCAGCTAGAGCTATATACGTATGCATCCATGTACCTGACTGCTACGCATTACGTGTATCATAGTTATTATATGGAACGGTGAACATGAATTCCCTCCTCACTCTACTTTCGACTCGAATATATAAGAATTTTTAGGATTTCTAAAAACTTACATGCTCGTTGTCAATAAGATTTTTTTTGAAACTACAATAATGGGAATTTATCGAATGTATTGTTCCGTTTGACATACTTTAGATTAATCTTTCAAATAAATAAGTGCACGGAAATTTTATAAAAAAAAAACCGAATCGAAGCAAAAATGATGATTTTCGAATGAAAATTTTTTGAGATCTACACTGAGCTAAAAAACTACTTGGAGGTCTCTATCGTGTCGTTTTTTTATATATTCACGAAGCTTTTTAGAAAAATATTGAGAGGAAATCTCAGTAAAAGGGATTGAAAATTGATATTGACCCCTACTTTGATATCACTCCAATGTTGCATCCAAATTAGTGTAACTCTCAGCTTTCAATCATTATTACGCATACATGGAGAATAATTGGAATTTTTCCATAAATATTCTCATTAGAAATCAAAATATATTTAACATGGATTGCAAATAATTTCATACAGCATTACGTTAATACATATTACTTATTGTTACACCCTACTGATATGTTCATTTGACTCATCAGATTTCATTTTTTATTTTTGATGTAAAAAATGTACCAAAGTAATCATAAACTCACTGACTGCAAGATTAACTAATTGTTTTGTCAAATCAATAAATAATACAATATGCACGAGCTAAGATTTACACCCAAGAAATATTTTTATTCCGAAGAACCCGTAACGCCCTCGCACGGTCAAGACGGCAAAGATCTTTAAGAAATTTTATCTCTCTTTCTTGCGCCCCGTCTTATTTCACGAGCCCCCCGGCGGAAGAAGAATTTCGCACCCCCTGCAGTGGTAACGTCGTGTGCGTGCAGCAGAGTCGGTAACAGCCTTTTTGCTCGCGTCGCTTTTCGCGCCTCGACGTCTCTTTCTCTCTCTTTCTGACTTATTTCGGCTTTGCGCGCGCTACGGGCGACGAGAAAATCGATAACCCCGAAAAGCTCGCTGGATGTTTTCGTTTGTTTTTGGTAACGTACCAATTGGATAAATAATACGCAAAAAAGAGTTGAATTGTGAATACATTAAAAATATTTCATCTAAAAATATCATATATCATAAGCGATACATCTAAGGAGGGAACTTTTTTGTCACGTCGGTAAGAAAGGAAAAGAAGTCAAGATTTCTTTAAGAAGTTTGGCCGTTGGCATCGTGCATTCTTTAAGAAATTACGCAGTGCGTTTCTTAGCCACTAAGGCTGATGGCGCTGAGATCACACTTTTTTCTCCCTTCGAATTATTTGAGTTGTACTTTTCCGTGCAATGAATTCGTTGTAATGAATGAAGTTTTAACTATATACAATCAGAAAAAAAAGTTAAAAGAATAAACTTGACAATTAGAAACATATTCTCTTCTTTGTAAATAAAAAAATGTCTCATTAGTTGGTACGTCATAATTTTTTTTACTTCTTTGAATAAAAAATATTCCTTGTTAAAGAATATAACAAGAAAGCAAGACACTACGAAAAACAAAAGTAAGTTCATAACTGCTATGTAAAGAAAAATACAGACTACACGCATGGTTAATTTAATTCAAGCAAGGCTTTATGTGAACTTTAAAAAAATTAAATAAACTAAGAAACGAAAAAAATGTTGTTGGCACCCGATCCTTGAATAAATTATGTACTGCATCGGCGAATCGATACGCGCGTATGAGCTGGCTAAGATGCCGAAGGGGGAGTTTTCGAGTACGCGAGCGAATATGCAAAGTATTTAGCATGTACACGAAGATCTTGGCAATAAAGGGTTGAGCTAAATTAATCACGAGGATAAGATCCCACAGGTGCGTGTTGCGAATGCGTTACATGGTTTTATAGAAGCTATGCGTTGCGTAATCATCGACTCGATACTTTTAATTTATTGAAAATGTTCCCAGCGAGTTTTTGTTCCACGCGACCAAAGTTATAATTATTCATGGCCCGAAATAAACACCGTATCGTCGCAGTTGGAACATAGGTAAAAAAAAATGCGAAAATAAATCAAGCAAATGGGTATGAAGAAATTAGCGTACGCATGAAATTCTGGCACTTCTGGACGCAACCCGTGGAACGACGAGAGGGAAAAGAGAGAAGAATCGATCACGCGCTTGTATCACTAGGGGAGAGAGACAGAGAGAAAGAGGAAAAATATGTATATATCATCAAGTTCGTATAGCAGCAACAGCAACAGCAGTAACCCTTTTCGATAATTTCTCTTTTCTCCATTTGTTCGCGTGTGTGTGTGCATGCGCTGCACGGTACGTATAACGGCAACAGCTCCACGCGAAACGATCGACTCTCGCTCGGTATCGCTTGAAAATTCACCCCGTAATCGACGGACAAAAAGTAATTTCCCATCGAAGAGAGAGAGAGAGAGAAACGCGCAAAAGCAGGGACACACACATACACACTAGCGTGGTATAGAACAAAGGGGGCGATTTTCTGTGTGTACGGGGTAGAATATGTCCAAAGAAAGAAAGGACGAATACACAGAGTGAGCGGGAGAGAGAGAGAGAAGGGGAAGTGGGCAGCATGGTTTTACATATATCGCCGAAGCATGTGTCCAATGTATGAAGCATGTATAACCGACATGGCATGCAATGAGACAGTTAGTGACCGGTGTGCGTAACGATCGCCGCATCGTGCACATGTACGCGTAAACCGTCGATGCTGTAGCCTCTATTCTCTCTCGCTCATTGTTAATGCCATTAATATCCTCTCGCTGTCTATACTTACTTATTCCTCTTTATGCATAATGACGCATTGTTTATTCCGCGAAAATAAACTCGGGTTTTTTTTCGAGATACGCGATTGGCTTCAACAATTTTTGTATCAAACAAAATTTAAAGAAGATCTTGAGAGCTGTTCAATACAGTTGACGAGCGTTAAAAAAAATATGTTTCATTAGTGACACAGTACATAAAAATAATCTAAAAGTACAAATCATTTTTTGTAACACTTACTTTTCAGATTCTTCTTTTTCATAATTTTAAGCATCAATTTATCCAGGAAAGACGTCAGAAATAAATGTTTTCGTGTCAGAAGATTAAATAAAAATAAATATAAAAAATACTCAAATCGCTTAAAGTAAAGCCGGATTTTTAGTTATCGTATAAACTGTAGATGTCGTGTTAACACCCACAAACGATCAAATTCAAAACGGATATAAAAGTAAATCTTGACTATTGGTAACCAATAATTTGAAAAAAGGGAATTACAGAAAATTTTAAATAAACAGCTGAACAAAAAAAAATAATGAGCTTCAGATTGTGTGAGGTTAAATAATTTGTTTACATGAGTGATGAAAGATATTTTGAAATACATTTTATTCGATTCCAGTCAAAAACTACAATAACAATGAATCATGGATATGTATAATTATGAGTCATATTGAAATCAACTGTAGGTTGCCCAGATTCTTATATTTCAATAATTTTTTTTTCTCTTTTACACAATGGATTAAATTTCTATGGGTCAGCGAGGAACAATGTATACATCTGGGCAACGATATTTCTATTTCGTCGTTACCAAGACAATAGTTACTTAATATCGCGAAAAAAAATGTATTTCGTTGATTTTTAGGCTCTTCTCGTTAGGTTTCTCGTCAGAAATATCTAAATCAATTTTTTTGCTTTTACTATACAACACATCTATTATCGCTATGAGTGACTATGTTAAATTTTTTTTTCTATTTACGACCACGCAGATTTTTGTTTTTTTGATTTTACTCGTAACGCCACATTTTACTCTTATTGCACAATTCCCATAACAGCTCGATGTATTTAATAATATTATTAAGCTACACTTGGAAGCATTCGTACCATATACATACTATGAAAACATAATGAGAATTTTTTACTTTAGATATTTATCTTTTCATTTTCTTACAAATCATGCCCTCTGGAAAAGAGTTTCTGACAAAAGTTGTAGTATTTTTCTTGCATTGCTATATTTTCTAGGTGTTGACTATAATCCAAAATGCAATGATATAGAATTTTTCGAAATCATTTTTGCCACTCGATCGCCATCAAATAATTTATAATGATTAATTTATTTATCACGATATGCTGAGATAAATCCGTTGACCGATTGCAGAAGAAAAAACATACTCTCTTCGTGCAAATGGGAATTTGTCATTTCGTCTCGAATCGAATGTCTCTTCTCAATCGACCAACTGACGTCTCGCAGCTTATAGAGAAATATTTGGTTCGATAAATGTATATATAATATGTTAGTTATCGTGATTACTATACATTGATATAATAACTATTATGCATATGTACACTTATTTACACGAGTTTCAATTGTTCTACTTTCATTGAATGTTTCATGGTTTACGTTTTGTAAAGTATATATTATTTCATTAATATCACTCACCGATGTATCGACGCACAAAGCACACTCGTCTTTTGCGATGACATTTTCGAATCGAGCACCGAATAAAAATTATCGTACAGCTGCCGATCTCTCGAAACAAAAAAGAAAAAAGAAAAGGAAAAGCGATTCATCCTGGAAGAAGTGGGTGGGGAGGGGAAAAAAAAACCTGAATCACGCGCGCGGCTCGTTCAGCACAGCCAGTAAGCCGGATCAGCGACCTCGTCCTGGAGCTGTTCAGCGACCAGAGGCTGATGATGATACTCGGGCTTGTTGTTGGCCAGCACCGCTGCTGCTGCTGCTGCGTCGACTTGCCGAGTAACGACGTCTTGCTGCTGCTGACGAGTCGCGTGACCACTGCCTCAGTAGGGCCGCCAGACGTTGTTGTCGGGCCGTATTACCTCGTCGGGTACGCGCACGACGCTGCAGCCCGTTACGTCGGTCAGGCCCCGTTGATGATGCTGCTGCTGCTGTTGCTGTTGCTGTTGCTGCTGATCGGGACTGTCGGTGCCCGTTTGAAACTGATTGTTGTAGAGCTGCGAGTAGAGTATCGTCGGGAAGACGCTGGGCGCGGGGAAGTAATTGCCGCCGCCGCCGCCTCCACCGCCACCGGCACCGCCACCCGCGGAGGAGCAGTTCTGGCCGACGAACGCCTGGTCCTGGACGCCCTCGTGCACCGGCGACTCGCCGGTCGTGCTCGAGTCCGTGGACAGGGAGCGCGGCGAGACGTAGCCCTGGTACCTCTGCGTCGAGCCGCCGCCGCCGCTCGACATCAGGCTCGACAGGTGATCGAGCGGGTCCGCCTGGTTGCCGCCTGGCGTCGTTGTGTCTGGAACTGATCGCGAAGACATATACATAAATAGAGTAAACGAGTGGCGAGATCACCCCCCACAACCACACTGAGAAAAAAAATTCATTGATTCAATGAAACGTTTAATTGAATACAATCTATGAAATAATTTCATTGAAATAATCTTTTTTTATTTCATCCAGCAAAATATTTAATTGTTTTCATAAAACTTTGGTAAAAACAATTAAATATTTTGTTGAATGAATGAATTATTTCATAGATTGTATTCAATTAAACGTTTCATTGAATCAATGAATTTTTTTTCTCAGTGCATGATTTATGGCCATTTTAGTCCTCGTATTATCCCTGGTAGAAATGTTCGATATTTTATAGTCACGAAGCATCAGCGGGGGCTGTAGATGAAGATAAGGAAAATGAAAATTCTGTGATTGTTGTGTAGTGATAAGTCACGGCGTATTATTAAGTTTTGGATATGTTATCTTATGAGTTTAGTCACTATATTGAATATGTTACTGTATGATTATTGAGTAAAAATTCTATTTTTATTTATATTTTCTAGCCAACCCATACAGAGATATGTAATACTTCCTATAGCTCAAATAAATGAATATAAATGAATAGATATAAAAATTGAAACATGAACATTTATAAAATTTAATTTATTTCTATTTTTTTAATTACATTAAAACAATGCACTATTAAACAACACTATATACACATAAAAAAAAGACTGAAAATATGATTATCGCCGTCACGAGCTTTGGCCCTCGTTCGCCAAACAAATTTTGTACAAATCTTCGTTCGACAGCTCGTCGATGATCATGTCGCAGCAGAGAATCGGCAGTCGGTAGCGCGTCAGCTCCATGAACGGATCCAGCGCCCAGCGCCGGAAAAATCCTCTCGTTACTTTTTCGAATAGATTGGAGAAACAAGGCTGTATGTGTCCGCATGGTTTCGAGCGCGCGAACTCGTAGTAGTCCATAAACGTGAGCCGTTTTGCCGCCACTTTGGGTCGTAGCGGGAGCAGATCGTAGAGCGACAGGCTCGGATTCATCATTACCACTTTTGCGTTACTTTCAAACAAATCGTACCGAGATCCGTCGAGATTCGCCGGCTTCTCGAACAGCTCGTACTTGGCGAACAATCGCATGATCGCCAGGGCGTCGCTTCGCGTCAGCTCGTATCCTCGCTTTTCTAGGCTCTCAACGAGGATCATGGCGCCGGATGCTAGTAGCAATTTATATTTAGGCTTTTTGCACCACTTGTCAGCGATCGCAGTGGGAAAAGCGAAATCGGACTGCAGATCGGCACCGTGAGCCAATAGAAGCTCGACCGCGTACCATTTGAAAGTCGACAAGGCGTAGCGCAGCGGCGTCCAGCCCGAATCGTCCTTGGCGTCGACCCGAACCAACCGCCGCGTGTCGTCGCACGTATCGAAAAACGTCTTCAACACTTGATCGTCGTCCTCGTGGATTCTCTTGCAAATCGCGTGCAGAGGTGTCCTGCCATCCTTGTCGGCCAGATTCGGGTCCACGCCACGTCTCAGCAGCGTCTCGATCACCCACTTGTTGTTGCTGTCCAGAGCCGCGAGCAGCGGCGTGCAACTCGACTCGTCCCGAGCGTCGATCCGCAACGTCACGCGACGCTCGTCGCAGATCGCGAACAGAATCTTCGCGAACTCGTCCAGCCAAGTGTTCCTGCAAATGATGTGCAGAGGCGTGGATCCCTCCTTGTTGGGCACGCACGGATCGGCGCCGGCTCTCAGTAGAAATTCGGCGTTGTTGTTTCTTTGAACGAACCATGGATTGGTGATCAGAGCCAAGTGTAGCGGTGTGTTACCCTTTTTGTCCTGAGCATCGATATGGAGCGGTCTGTGTTGCTCGCTGCTGAGCTCGAATAAAAACCTCACTACTGGCGCACGATCGCGGTGTACCTGACTTAAAATGTGCAAAGGAGTCCATCCATCTGCATTGGCTAAATTTGGATTAGCTCCTTTTTTTAGCAGCCAGTCGAACGCTGTTTCGGTGCCGAAGCTCAAAACCAAGTGTAACGGTGTGTTATCCGACTTGTCTCGGACATTGACCTGCAGCGCACGATGTTGTTCGTCGCACAGTTCGAAGAACTTTTCCAGCGAATTCACATCGAGCTGCATCTTGACGGCGATGTGCAAAGATGTCAATCCCTCTGCATTAGCCAAATTTGGATTGGCTCCTTTTTTCAGCAGCAATCGTACCGTACCCCAATAGCCGTTGGTAAGAGCCACGTTTAGCGGCAGATCGACTGAACTCGCGCCCGACTTTCGAACGAGGCCATTGGGATCCTGGCCGAGCTCGAGGAATTTCTCAACGATGTTTTCACAGCCAAACTCGACAGCCGCGTGATAATGCGTGTATCCGAATTCGTCCGTGTAATTTGCATTGGAACTGTATACTTTGAATAGCTCGCGAATGACGTCGGCGTACTTATGTCGAGCCGCGCGATGTACTGCCGTGGTGCGATGAAACAGTGGCTTGCCTTCGTCATCGAGTTCGGGCTCGTCTTTGTATCCGGTGCCAACAACGAAGTCGATGAATCGTTCTCCTCGACAATCATTTGCAGCTCCACAATAGCTTATGGAATCTGAGAGAAGAACCTCAAGTTCTTCAATTTTAAAAATGTCTTGGATTTTCGGAAATGGACCTTTCCAATCGTTTATTAAAGCATCGAGCTGCAGGAGAAATTCATGTCGCTCTTGTTCGATCTCCAAATTGAAATTTTCTCGTAAGCCCTTCACTTTTTCGACTTCTTTTTGATTGTCAAAAATTACGTTGGATTCACCGTCTAACATTATTTCGCTTATTCACGCACAAACACAATTGTTATTATAATTTAAGATTTTAATTTTTTTTTTTTTTTCACGACAATCACTTGCTAGAGCTAGATGAGATCTTTGTGTGTTCAAGCTACAACGTCGTTGTACTGACTACGCGCGTGCGATACGATACATAGGAAGTACAAAAAAAAACGTAGGCGAGATCCTATAAATAGCGCGAGCTATTAATGGAAACGTAAATCCAGCATAGTGGAGGCCACTTGTGCATTGCAATGAAGCTGCTTACATCGAAATGGAGTTGGGTGGAACTGTATACCAACTCCAAATCGACCTTAACTTTCCTTTACTTATGGGTGTATGTTTTTTTTTTTAAGTTTTTGTTATGTAACGATTTAATAAAATATACGCAAATTATCAGTTTAACAATCTTTCTGTGGGCAGTTTTAATTATCTTTACTTGAAATGTAGGACGTCAAGGGATTGCAGAAAATTTGTTTAAAAATCTTTTGAACAATTTAATTGTTATTTTCAGATTATTAAAGGAGACCTTACACCTCCAAACTAAAACAGTTTATATTTTTTTCAAAAGTTTGTTTTCAATCGGGAAAAAATGATATCTTGTAACTTTTTAAACATATTTCAACGACCTTGATATGTATGTATGACATGTATATCGTTCTGAAATTTTAACTCAATATTCTGCACGTTCCTACTTATAATGAACTAGAATGAAAAAAATCGACAGAATATTTCTACCATTATAAACGAAAAAATTCGATTCTAGAAAAAATTATGCCATTTCGTTATTTTTGAACCAATTTTTCTCATTCTAGTTCATTTTGAGTTTTTTGTGTTGTTGATGTTTTCTTTTAAACATTTACGAATTTTTTTCATATAGTTTGAGGACAATTAATAGTAATGAATATTGTAAAATTGTTCATTTCCATTTTTTGGCTATTTGGTCATAAGTTAAGCATTTCTACCAGAGATATGAATTATCAAGAGGAAACACCTGGGTTTTTTTGTTTTTGATGTAAAATTATGTTTTTTCAAATCTTTTTACATCAGAAAGCATGTTTTTAGTACCTTTTATAATTTAAACTAGTTCAGGATGTATCCGTAATGACTAATCATCTTAGAGTTCTTAAAATTTTTATCATAATATTCTACTCCATTCTTAAATAAGAAAATAACGAGCATATTTTTGATCAAATTAATTATTCGATCTACCAGTCTTAAAAACTGGCAATAAGCGTATTATAAAAGCGTAAAAAGCTACTATTTAAATTTTTGGGTAATTTAGTATGGGAAAAAGTTTCCTAGCTTCTTTTTGAAATTCTGTTACACTTAAGTGGAGGAGAATATTAGGACAAAAATTCTGAGACTGATAGAATCAAGATTCGTCAAAGGTTCCATTCAGATTCATTCAGAGCTTTGAAATCATAAGTCATTATGGATGCATCCTGGAATAATTTAAACACTACTATACTTAAAACATGTCTTATAATGTAATAAGGCTTAAAAAAACATTATTATACATCGAAAACAAAAAATTTAATTTTAACATCTTATTTTCATAGTTTTTAATTTACAAGGTTTAAGGTAGTTCCCTCACAAAAATGACTATCGATAAAGGGTCTTGAAATTTTAACCACATATCATTGACAATGCTTTTCGTATGTGTGAGAAATTTCAGGAACTTTAACCAAACCATTTCCAAAATATAATTAATTAAAGTTTGGTACTCTAACATGGGATCCTATGCTAGCGTGTCGAAAAGACGCTATTTTGTGTGATTATAAAAAAATGCATCGATAAAATCTTTTCAAAAACTAGGAGAGGATTGTTCAATATGCACTAAAACATAGCTCAAAAACTGGAAAAACTTGACCAAACATTTTTTGAGAAAAGTTAATGTAAAAACATTGCGAAAATAAAAATTTAAACTTTAGACCTGAAACCCACTTTTTAAGTTTTTAGGGTCATTTTAAACAAAAAAGTGCTACAAAAAAAAAGTCTTAGAATTTGTCAGGGAAAGCGTATGAATTTTTTTCGGGTTTTTTGTAGACACATGCCCGAATTCGTAGGTGATCATGTTCTGAGGAAACTACCTTAACACGGGTCTCTGTCCCCGTAACAATCGTAAAAAAAGAAAAAAAACAACGAGCGACTCACTGGACGAGACCGCGGAGAAAGCATCGGGCGCCTGGTTGGCCACGCTGTTATTGTTGTTGGCGTTGTTGGCGTTGCTGTTGGGGTTGTTGCCACCGGCCGTGGAGTCGGGCGCCGTGGGCACGATGCTGCTGCTGCTGCTGGCTCCGGCCGCCACGGCCGCGGCTCCGAACGCAGCGGCGGCAGCGACGGCTGCGGCCGACACCGAGTTGCCGCCGCTGGACGACGCGCCCACCACGGCGGTCGTCGAGGAGGCGGACGGCGCGGCCGAGGGCGGCGGCGGTGGCGCGGGTGGCGCGAACGGCGTCTGGGCCGCGCACGAGGACAGCGGCCCCGGCAGGTAGCCCGCGTAGCCGGCCGTGCTGCCGTAGCTCCAGGAGTTACTCGCCGGCAGGCCGAATTGAGACATGTCTGTGGGGTAAAATACAAAGCGCGCACATGGCCGATGTATATATAATTTCATATATAGATAGAATCGATACGAGGTACGTTCGATTTTTACTTTTCGGAGTGACGTAAGCCTATATAAAAACGGCTCGCCAAATCAATGTTTATAAATGAATGGAATTGAGTAGCTGGAGTAATAAAATAAAACAAAAAGGAGAATAAGAGCAACTGCTTCGCTATGTGTGTATATCAAGCTAACGACGAAAGATCAAAGAGGCAAAAGGGTAATCTCTCTCTTCTCGGCCAACGCAAATATAGATATACGTAGATCGCTGGAACGGTTTGATGTTCTCTGCTCTCTCTCTCTCTCTCTCTCTCTCTCGTATACATATAGCCCTAAATACTCTGCTCTCGGACCATATATATATATATATACTACTACTGTGTACACGCTGTGCTACACTGTTGATTCTGGCTCTACACCGCATTCTACGCGAACTGCCGCCGCCTCCTCCTCGCTTTTCTCCCTCTGTCGCCCACACTCCGTAAACTCAGCTCTCGTATACTTCGTACACACAACGATTTTTTTTTCTCGATGCGGCTCACATGCTACTTCTACATATTTTTAGACGTTATCATGTGTGGACTTTGAAGTTAATTTTTTCTACCGGTCGAATATACGTATACGGCATATATCGATATGCCCGCGAATGTTTGGCCCGCAGCGCGTATGCATTTTTATTATATATATAAGCTGAGGTAGCTCACGCGACGCACGTGTGTGTGTCATGAGCAGTATAAATATTGACCGTAAATGCTACACAGGCGCGACGAAATTTCAGTCTGCGGTCGCGTTTATTACTGCACTTTTCAAAAAGTAACATATTTCGAGGCTTCGTACACGATACATCGGAGCTTTTCGGTGTTGATGTTTAATCTTTTGCGCCCTAACAATCATCCGAATACAGCAAATCCATCCGTCAAACTCGTTCAAAATTTTACCGTAAGGCCGAAAAGTCAACGCGCGAGCACGAGCAATCAGTTGTGTATATAATAATAAAATACCGTTGAGTATTGGTAGCGCGTTATATACTATGAACCAGTTGTGCAGAACTGCGATATATATACCCCGCGAGCTTACGCGTATCTATATATCTGTGTGCACGTCAGGGCAAAGTCAGCGAAGTTGCCTCTCTCTCTCTCGCTCTCAGCCCGCAGGCACACAGCTCGTGGAAAGATAGATCCGTGTGTATATATCTACATGTATAATATACACAGCTGCTCACATTTATAGCAAAAGCTACGCCGAGCAGAGAGAGAGAGAGAGTTTCTCCTCCAAGCCAAGAGATAGAGCGAGAGGAAGAGAGAAAGCTCTGATGCCTATTGCCGCAGTGTTCGCTCTTACTCTCTCTCTCTCTCTCTGCAGCAGCAGCAGCAGCAGTAGCAGCTCCCTGTAATATAATATTTAATCTAGCTTTGAGCAGGCTTGCGGTTTCTACCTCTGCTGCTCTCTTCCCTCCCTCCCTCTCTCTCTCTCTCTCTCTTTCTCTTCTACACTCTGTCTTTCGTTGCTCTCGCGTATAGTTTCTCCATTGCTAAAGGGAGGAGCAGCAGCAGCAGCGAAGCAGAGGTATTTTGCCTGTGCGCTGCACGAGTTTTGCTCTCTCTCTCACTCGCGAACCCGTGCACGCGCGCGCGCGCGCTTTATTTAATACTCGTGCTTACACATGCGCGCGTATATGCGTATATCCATATAATACACAGAAGCAGCAGCAGCGCGCGATGTCGGAACTTGCGCGTGGCCTTTTTTCGTCTTGCTTTATGTTATATACACCCTTTTCTTTTTGTATACAGCTGCTTACGTGTATATTTATAAGCATTTACTACACTACCGTTCTATATGCAAAAAAGCATGCACAACGACTGAGATTTTCGATAATCGAACTTTTTAATGCGGTTAACATCGCGCGTGTATAGCTCGCGTGTAATTACTTCGCGAGGAATTTTGCCCTCTCCCTTTTTTTTTTTTTTTTCGTGCTCCATAACGGACTCGGGCGAATGAAAATCTTGTTAACTAATCGAACTCTCGCTTTTTTTTTTAACTGCCTCTTTGCATCTTATTTTTTTTTATTTTTATTGTTCGTGTCTCGATCGATATATACCTACTACACATAAATATCATGCTTCGCTTATGTCAAAACGTATGTAATACTTACTTTGACAGTTGCCAGGCATGGCGTGGCGAAAGGACGACAACGGATCCCTCGGCTGGAGCGGATTCGGCAGCGACTGCAGCGGACTCGGCAGCGGCTGGAGCGGATCGACCAGCGGCGAGGCGAAGAACGGCCCGCCTCGCTGCGAGGCAAAGGCGAACGCGTGGAAAGGCTGCTGCTGCCCTAAAAAAGGCAGCACTGCGATCAACCGTGCGCCTGCCCATCGAAATTCGGACCGTACTCACGGCGTGCAAGGCTGGTTTTTTTTTCATCGACTTTCGCGAAGTTTACGTATCGTTTTCATTGCAAGCGAGGAATTTGGTGACCGCTACAATCTTATTCGGTTGGACCCCAAGTAGGTGGACAAAAAGTAGCATATGAGTACTACTGGAATCACGAGGAGAAATTTCGGAATCTCCTTAAGTGCGAGATTTGTGAATTGTTTCTGTGTCAGATGATGTTGTACAATTTCACGATGGCGGAGTTAGGCCTTAATTGGCGACGGTATCAATTCGATAGTACCCCGACGGATAAAAATCGTTCAAGAAAAAGTAGAAGCAGTAACTAAAACCATCATATTAAATTGTAAAATGTAACAATGATTAAAAATGCAGCATCAAATTACATTTTTTTATACTTTCTTACACTTTTGTATACTTTTTTATATATTTTTACATGTGCTATCCGCATGTGATCGCTCGACCGCAGCATGTGATTTTTGTGAAAAAAAGTATTGATTTTTATGAAAAAAATTAAGACAAATTATGATGGATATGTATATAAACCAAACTCACAAAGAGAGCTTTTCAGGTGCGGGTCATGGATTTGCTCCAAAATTTTTTTGCGGTCTCCTGGTAACCAAAACTGAAGCTCTCTGTGCTTAATTTGATCCAATGGGCCTTAAGGCCCATTTTGTAGAGGATTTTCCACATTATAAAAAAATCTTTGTTATTTTCTATACCGAAATAGAAGTACTTAAACGAAAAAATGGGACGATCAAAAGTTTTAAAAATTTTTAAAGAATCTGCTTGAATTTTTTCAGAATTTTGGGGACCATCTACCACTCTCTTTACGAAGTCCTAAAATCTACTATAAAAAGCGTCAAATTTGGGCCTCTTGAATTAAGTGATACTTTGGGCACCTAGAAAACATGCCCAGTAGGTTTAGTTTGATCTCATAGGCCCCTGGAAGAAGTATAATGCACATGCTACATTTAAATATTAATTATATGTCAAAAAACCCCTTCTATCATCACTTAATGTCTTCATGCGTATGAAATCAAGCTCAAGCTCCCTCAATATACTTGAACTAACTCTTTTTCATGTCCTGAACACATTGAAAAATATTCAATACTCCAGCTCTAATTATTATAATCTGTCAAAATCTGACAAAAGCGATCAAATTTGAATAAATCGTTATGGCATTTTAATTGGTCTTGTTTTATGATAAAACTTTGCCTTTTTTGTTTTGGATTTTAAGAATTCAGCCGTCGCCATCTAGCGGTAACTTAAGAATTACCACATATCTGAAAATAAGAGTCTGGATAATCGCGACTCGTGGCAGAGTAATATAATTGATAAATAGTAACTAAACTTTGACGATTTTTTTCATACATTTACATTATACTATTGATGAAAATTGAAAAAATGTAAGGATGAATTTAGGGGATAATATTTTTACAATTGTCAACAAGTCTCTTTTAGTACGTCCAAAAGTAGAAAATAAAATCGCATGTCGTTAAATATTGAAGCTTTTCAACTGTACATCCGAAATACAAGAGTTTAATTATCGTAGCAAGAATCGAAGGTTAAAAGCTGCCATTGAGAATCTGAACGCGCCGAAAAAAAGACCAAAAAATAAAATAAAACGCAGTTAGAGCGAAAGGGTGAAAGAAAGAGAAAGAGAGATAAGCACGCGAGTAGCAGCAGCAGCAGCAGCAGCAGCAGCAGCAGCCATGTGAGAAAAGGAAGAAAATGATGAACACTGGACAGCAGCCCTCTCTCTTTCTCTGTTAAATAGGGTATAGATGACACGTTTATTTCGCCGCTGCTACTTTTTTTTTGTCGTCGCTATACTGCTGCTGCTCCGGCCTGTCGGCAGAACTCAATTAAAGACGTCCCAGTTGGCAAGTCACACCTCTCGACTGTCTCTTTCGTTTCATCTGTTGCTGTGTATCTGCACTGGAGGGTATATTATACGCGTGTGTGCGTGTAACGGGACGACCACGACGACGACGGAAGGGCTGAAAACTCACACGACGAAAATCGACAGTAGCCTACAGCTATCTGTATGGCACGTTACACGGGAAGGAAAATCGAAAACTAATAGAGCTCCGATCCGGGTCCGTCGAGGACGCGAATTTCATTGCGATCTATTTCATACGAATTTCACTTGGAGACTTTTCAGGAGAGCTATATATAGCCATTGTCGTACTTTTTTCACGGTATATTGTTTCCGATATATATAAAGCTTGATAAATTGGATATCACAGTCTCGTCCCGTTACTATCGAAAAACTAATAAAGGCCGGGGGGATACAATTTTGATAATTATCCAACTGCATCAAACTGTGTTTGTGTGTGTTGTACTGCAAGTGAGATATCGATAAGAGAAGGGGTTATAATCGATAACAGACGAGCGAAATGATTGAAATCCACTGCCGAATTATTGTCACAGGCAGTGAAGCAGCATACGTATACGTATATATATGCAGGCAGTTCACACTCGGACTGCATCGGAACTCGAAACGGTGCGAACGCACGCGTGGCACGCGACGCAGCACTGCACACACACAGACACAGACACAGACACAGACAGATTTGCCTCCTGCAGCTGATGGTGCATATCGCAGTTACGATCCTCCGAAGGACGCGCCTGCTGCAGACACCCCCCCTCACGCACAGCATCTCAATAATTTAATCGGGGGCCGCTGCTGCTGCAGTGCCTAATTCTAGAGGCCAGTTTTCGCGCGCGACTACTCGACGCGTTTCAATAGGGAGAGAGAGAGAGAGAGAGAATGATCGTCACAATAGCTATTGCGCTTCGAGACCATGAAGCAGCAGCAGCACAGGTCGACTATATACAGTACGTCTCATCGGCTTTTGACTAACGAGATACGAGCGGCTGAGCGGCTTAAATGATCGACCCACGCACTGGTAGTAGCTAGCAGCAGCTAGTAGCAGTAGATAGTAGATAGTAGATAGTTGGGATCTCTCCCCCGAACTCCCTCGTGGCCGATCTCTCGATAATACCGAATTTCCGACGGGTTGCCGCTGCTGCTTCTTGCGCGTCGCTCTGCCACTGTATACGCGTCTATCTATCCATCTATATATGTGTCCAGTGCATATAATGAGCGAGCCCATCGATGCACGATGTTGGTCAGCTGTAATTTATCAATCGATATGCGTGTACGGCGTGTATCGCCGCGCTGCGGTACTGGTGCACGCACGCCTGTAATGACGCTCTCTCCAGCACGCATATATAGAGAGCGTCACTTCATCAAGCGAGTTTGGTTTGCGCGCGTAGTATATGTAGGCACCGTGTAAAGTTACGTTACACGTGTATTATGGGTGCGCGATCGATCGTTTGGCTGATATTGAGTGCAGTTGAAAAATAAAAGTCTACATCGTCCGCGCGAAATTGTAAGGATGTGAAAATAATTTCGTATCTATCATAATCAAATAATTTATTTACAAAAGTTTTTTCAGTGGTTCGAGTCCGAAGCTATGAACTGATTACTGAACTGACTTTACTTTGTGCACCAGGTCGAGAGTCGAGTTTTTCAATTAAGATTCTAGCTTGCAACAAAGACTGGTTGATGATATTTAATTGTCGAAAGATGACGATGATTCTCACAATCGGAGGCCATCATAAAATAATAAAAAAAATATAGGACGCGACGATTCGGACGACTCGAGTGTATTCAAAAAACCAAGCTTTCACTTCGACAGCTGGCATGGTGGTTTCACTATTATGCATATATACGCTCGGAGCCGCGCTATATCGAAGAGCTTCTCTCTAGCGTTATCTCGGATGAAGATTTTGCAGCCCGCGCGTAAAGAGGCACTCGAGACTCTGCAGGGTAAGTATAGTAGTATATATACGGCGCGCGCCATGCAAAACACGTTGAACGAGCCCGCCGCGCGGTCGGGATAGTAGAAGAAGAAGTAGAAGAGCAGCAGCAGCGCGCCGGTGAATCCGCGAATGAATTACCCGTCTTAAGCGTGTGCTGCTGCATGTATATATACAACGCAGACCGAGGCGAGGCGAGGCGCGCTCCGGTGCGGTGGTAGCTTGATAAATTTAATAAATTAGAACCTTCAAGACCATAGATTTATCACGCTAGACCCTATTCTCTTCCTCTCTCTCTTTCTCTCTCTCTCTCTCTAGCCCTCGTACACGTGTGCTCTTGTCTTTCTGCACAGCTCTCTATCTCTCTTTCTCTTTCTCTTGGCGCAAGTGTGCGTGCGTGTGTGTATAATAGAGCACGGCAATTCATTATAAGATCCCTATAGTGAGTGAGTGGCCTACTGCATCCTTTCTCGTCCCGTCCCTTTCTTTATTCGTTCATTTTCATAAGGAATTTCACCGTATAAAACAACAATCAATGATTTATAATTTACCGAAATACCATCGATTATTCGGTTTATTTTCGACATTCGCTGCAGTAAGATTTTCTCCAAATACCCTGGCGCCAAATGCCTTTGTATACACGTGAATTGAGCCGAATTCAATTCTTAACATTCGCGGCATTCTTCTAATTTACGCTTATGTATATAATAACAGCGGCGGTCCGGTGTACTATGCTGCTGTATGCGCAACGGATCGGTGCCGATGAAGGTCCAGGAATAAGCTGCCGGATGCCACAGAAGCTTACACTATGTGTACAGACCTTGTCCCGTGTGCAACGTTCGGCATTTGGATTTCGGGAGATCTACCGTCAAATCAGATTACAGCCTTCCGTGTATGTGTTTCTAAGCGTGTGTGCGTGTGTGTATGTGTACAACGACTATGCTAAGCAGATTTCCTTGGAGGCGTTAACCCTCGGGTTGGAAACAAAGGCAAAGATAAGAGCCGAAAGAGACGTTTAAATGATCGCCTAGACCAGCGTAATGAATTGCTCTTGTGTTAAATTAATTACTGTCCGAAGGTACAAAACAGTTGCGCTAAACAAAAGAGATAGGGACGATGTATTAACGCTGTTCTTAGCCGAGTTTTTGCATAAGAAAACAGAAAAAGAAACATTACGGGCGAGTACTTAATGTACTCTCTTGGTGCGCGCAACGTAATGAGCAACTATTCTTAATTGAAAAAATAACAACGCGTGTACAGTTTTTATACACAAGTATAGAAAAGCTCGTCTAAAAACGAAGAAAAAACGGTTCAATCTCTATACATTCCGATGCAAATAGTTTAGCCTCGTGATAATGCACGAGCCCCCCCAAACGCTCCGGAATATTAATTTATCCGACTGCGAGCAAAGTAGCTCGAGTGTTATTTGTGTAAGTGAATTCAGCTCGGTGGGTGTGGAAAGCGCAGCAACCCCGAATAGAGAGAGAGAGATGTAAAATTTTCGAAATCTCTCGTTTCTCTTGGCTCTCGATAAACCGAAACTGTCACGACGCGAAGAATTATGGATCTGTACGGTGGTCCGTGCGCCGCGCATCAAGACGGAGCTCGCATGTGGTTTCGAGGCGTCATGCGCCTAAATTAACAATGTATATTCGTCAAGTGCGCTTACGGCATGAGAGCCCTCCCTGAACGAGGCTTCGAATTAATTTTAAAGTTTTCGTAAAGTTTGATTTTCAATCAATTAAAAAGTATTTATAATTGTTCAAAACCATGTTCTGACTTATATACAATTATTTTGACTTTGCCACTTGCAGATGTACAGATTATGCTACTTGCCATCTAGTGGTCAAGACTCGAAGTATTATTATCGCATTTGCTATGGTTGAAAACTGATCTGAAATTAGTTTTGGATTAATTTTTTGAAACAATTAAATTGCCATTTTCAAGTCACTTAAAATGCAAGTAATGTTTTAACATGATTTTAAAATAAAAATTACCAAAAACAAACCGATCAAGGTTCTGAATTTCGAAACGTAGTATATGACTATTTCTGGTAATTAGAATATTAATACGTCTTTATACGGAAGTTAAGTAAATAAATTTTCAAACCTCCGTGTAATTGTTTACGTTGATTTTATAATAAATATTTCAGTGAACAACTTTTTCGGAGTTCATAATTGAATAAGAACAAAGCTTTTTAACAAACTTATAATTTCACTTGGTTTCCTACAAAACTGCTGCATTATCACACGCAAACCGAGAATCAGTAAAGGACACAACGTATCTCGCCAAGTTCCATCTCGCTCGGCCTCTCGCAGCGCAAACACCCAAGGAAGTTTGTGCACGACGCTTATAACGCGCCGAGCATACATGCATATAGCAGCGAAAGCGATTCCTTTCTTATACTGTTTGTGTACGGCGTTATATCATGTAGGTATAAGGAGGCTCTCCAGTGCAATCCTTAATCAATGCCGAGCACGTTCGCCGCATCTTATGAGTAATGGTCTGACACGCGCGTGTATGTGTGTGTGCGCGCGCTGTCACCGTCGCAGCCGCGGCTTCGGAAGTTTCTACTTTGGGCTTTGTTGCCGCGACCGCACCAACGAGAGCGTGTACACACGTACACACACGTGCGCGACGTATGGAAAATTATCCATAAACGTTAAAGCGTAAATTTACACGAACGATGTGTCGATGTATGTTTTAAATGCCTTGCACGCCCGTAGTTTTTTTTTTCTCAACGTATCAACGCGTGAACGTATGTTTATTATCTATTATTACATAGTTATTGTTATATCGTTATTATTATTATATTGAAAAATGAGATAAAATTAGTAATGCTTACAGTGATACTCACTGGTCTTGGATCGGGGCTCGCGCGGCCCGTCAACCGTCACCTTGATGGCTTTGGCGTACGTGGCGACCTGCGGTGGCGAGGTAGACACCGTTATCGTTAACGTAAAGCTCTTACCTGCAACGAGCACAACAACAAACATACACATTTTTAATCGTTTCGTTGTATTGCAAATATTTCGATCAAGTCGCTCTAGAAGTAATGACAGAGCAGAGCGTAGGCGAGAAAGAAGTAGATCTAGGTAAATGTTCTCTAGGTAATAACTTAAAACTTATATTATTAGATATTCTATAAGTCTAAACTTATATATTAGACTAGTTCGATCAATTTTTCAGATTTAACAATGCATTGAAGGGTCTGGAAGTCTTTTTCAAAGCCGGACTTTAGTGCGATCTTCAGTAGATCTTGAATTTCACTACATTCGAGGACCATATAGGAGGACCATTTGAAAATCTTTTCGACCAACATGACTCTGTTAAAATTTTTTTTCGTTTGGAATATATATTATTAAACATATTTATTTTCTTTTGGATTTTGAGAATTCGTCCGTGCGCCATCTAGTGGTAACTGATGAACTACCACATATCTGAAAACAAGACTTACTAGCGTATGGAATTTTTAACCCTCTTGCCTTAATTTTCATTACTTTTAAATTAAGTTCGATATTTTTCAAGCAGATTACGATATTTTTAATGCGATTAATATAATTTCATTTTATAAAATAACAGCGATACTTTCAAGTCTCTAATTAAAAATGAACGTATCGATAAAGTAACTATACAGTATATTGACTTTAATTTTAATTTTAGTACTGTTTCATTGGTTTTCGATATAGTAACTTTTGTAATTCAAAGAATATACCATGTACAAAAGTTCATCATTGTATGCCTCCCAGAATATTAAGATACAAACATCGATTAAAAGTACTTGAGATACACGAATAATTTTTACAATGTATAAACACAATCGTTCTCATTAAATGACAATAAGCTTCACGATATAAGGTCATTCATTCATAAAATAAAAAGCTCTGGACACCAGCTCGGACTCGACGAATCTATACGCTTCGCACACGCGATCGAGTATAAGCAGATACATTGCATAAAGATGAAAGCCGTATATAGTTCGAGCATAATACGCGAAACTCTCGATACATTACCTGCAGCAGCAGCATCGGCAGCAGTAGCAACCCTCCCTTTCCCCCCTGCCGTCAAGCCCCGTCCCCGCTTTCGAACGGCTAACTTGTTTAACGGAGTTACCACCGTCGCCGCGCATAGATAACCACGTTTGCGAACTTTCAACCTAGACTCGCTCTCTCTCTCTCTCGCACACGCATGTGCGCGAGCTATTGTCTTCGTATATGTGCGTATGCGTGTGTGTGTGTGCATGCGTTGGCGAATTACCCAAATTTTGAAAGCACCAACAGCAGTGGGCAGCCATTAGGGGCGAGAGAGAGAGAGAGAGAGAAAGTTCTTTTTATCCTTAATAGCTGTTGTACGTCATTATTTTCAATGTATAGCTATACGGCTGACGGGTGGCGAGCGAACTATACGGCTGCTCGTGCGAGTGCGAATTTATATCCTATCGCACACGCATGCGTTATCATTAATAACCCTGGAAGCTGCGACGCGTACTTAGTCTTTTTAGTGATTATGATATTCTGTACAGTAGATTATGTATGCCATTTTATTTACAAATATTATGAAAAAATTGTATAACCAAGCGGTTCGATATTACAGCAGAGGGTCTTTGAATTCGTAAAATCGAATAATAAAAGTAGCGCGCGGCGCGCTCAAAAAAGTGTATACGCACGCAATAGATTATGGTATTTTTTAATGAAATTACGCGTGCGGGGGTATATGGATATTTTAGGAGGGTTAGGATCGAGTCGTGCGCACACGGAATACCGGCGGACTCGCACATGCACCGTATACACGCCTCGTTCTCTCTCTCTCTCTCTCTCTCTAAATCGATAAATATACACGAGCCGAAACTCTTTATTAAACCCAACAACTCGCGAAATGGATGTTTTATTTACACACGTGGATTCGTAGAGTATCGAAATCATAACGTTAAAAGTACATACTTTCGATTTTCATCGCGAGCTTTATATTACATCGTCGCGCGTCCAATCAACCTGTAACGTAAAATGAGATTCGCACGTTTTACGCGTCTCTCCAAATTTTAGTCTCTCTCTAATACGTTATCTCGCCGCGAAATAGCTCGTGTATATATGTGCGCGCGAAGCCCCGATCTGCTTGGCATACATATATCGCGGCGCGGCGGTGGTAATACCGAAGCAGCGCGTTACACACGAGCGGATCACACCTCCATCGCATCGCATCGCGGCGCGCGTGATAATGACGCCGATCAATATCAATCGCTCGCCGCCGACGCCGCGCAATTATGTATGCTATGGCCACGAGCAGCCCTGGTAGTAGTAGTACCTTATAAACATGTACATTGGATTAAATACCATCAGCGCGGCGTGGCTGTATATAGCGATAGCGCCGGATGTTAGCTATTTTTTTTTTTTCTGTGCAGAACTTGCAAGCTCCCCCTCGCTCGCTATTCTCTCTCTATCTATCTATCTGCGCTGTTCACCTGCAGCGCGTCGCGCTGCTCTCGCGTCGGCGGCGTTCTAGCATGAAATCGATTCGCAAAGTCTCTCTCTCTGCAGCAGGCCGCCAGGGACAGACGAGCGCTTAACGCGAGCGCGTATGGCCTTTTAACGTTGGGATACGTGCGTGGCTCGACGTTAAGCTCATTACGCATGAGAATTGTTGTTGGCGCTGCTGCTACTGGCCTACGCTCGTTCGTTCGCGCTCTTTCTATATACTACTCTCGTTCTCGCTCTAAACGCCAAATGGAAATTCGAGTCACGCGCGACGGCGCGAATTTGACTGCAGCGCGTATACCGAGCCCGGCGGTGATGGCCCATACCGCCATTGACAACGACGACGACGACGACGACGATGCCGCCGCCGCCGCACCGCCACCGCGCACAAAGCTCCCGAATATGTATAGCAGTTGAATTATGTTAAACATTGGCGCACACGGTATACGATCAACGAGCCCGCAGCGCACCGAGCTGTATTGTCATTTGTCGCTACGGTCAGTTTTATAGGCAGGGCATTCTCTAGCTTGCGTGCGTGCGTGTGTGTGTGCACTTATCCAAGACAAAGAACCGTATCTATAAGCACTTGATATCATATAGTCTCGCGCAAGCTCGAGCAAAGTTTCTCAAGATTATAACGTCGCATAATATTAATCGATCGAGTGGCGAAGAGGCCGATAATACCGAACTATATACTACTCGCTAGACAAAGTACTCGCGCGAGTGTCTGTATATGTGTGTCCGTGTTTGTGTGGAGCATCGTGCCGGGATGAGCTATCGTACGTGACATCGCATCGTTCGATCGAGTTTGCGGATTTATGCTATGTATTACAATTAATGAACGGTCTCGTTAGTGGGGTATATAGAGGTGTAGCAGCAGCAGCAGCAGCAGCTGATGATGACGAAAAGAGCCCTCCTCTCACGGAATATATACATTATAAGGACTCGCGTCGCGTGGATACACGTTTCGTGCGGCTTTCCATGTTATATATAAGACGAAGATGATTTTCTCCTTGTACTTATGAAGCTGCTGCTACTGCTACTGCTGAGATGAGTATTGCAAACCGTCGATACGACGTTTTAACTCAAGTATAACGAAGATACATCGCCCGGCTTCGACGATACGAGCTTGCGGTTTCGTTCTTGCCATATTATATCCGAGCTGCACGAAGCTAGCTCGACAAATTGGACACCTATGTAACGCGGATAACGCGATGTACATCTCATTTACAAGCTACGTGATTATAATATTTTGAAAAACAAAATCAATGATCGAAATCGCGCAACATTTCTACGCGGCTTCCAACGCGCGTAATAAGTGTTCCGTCTTCCGTCGCTCGCACCCCATTCGAAACGTATAAAAGCCGCCTCTATGCACGAAAGAGCCTCAGTATGCGCGACGCGCCGCGGTGTCTTTAAAGCCTTTTCAACCCTCTTTCTCCGCTCGCTCGTTGCATCAAGAAGCGTTACTATATATGTATATATTGCGCTGCGCGCGGCACATTAGTTATTTGTCAGTGGATTAAGTCTCGATGGTTTTCCGTTTCTGTATTTACATGCGCTGCAGAGCATTTACAGCGGTAGAAGGAGGAATTAACATAAGCTCGGATCGAAGATGTCGCGAAGACGCAAAAGCGTTTCGCCGAAGCGACGAGTGCGCGACGACGAGTGAAGATTTTGGAAAGAGAGAGAGAAAACCTTGTTTATTCGCGGGTATTCTCCGTGACTGAAGGAGTACGCGCGATTGCCAATTCAAGACGGGTTTAGATGAGCTTGACGAAAGCGGCTTTCAATCTTTTTTTCTTCCGAGAAAGTCTGGAGATTGGACGATTAGGAAAATTAGGCGAGTTTGATAAAACTTACGTTTTATACAATACTTTTTTTAATTATTTATGAAAATACTCAAGGGATGCCTGTGAATCTCCTCATCTTCTGGTGGCCACAAGAGAACGATAAATCATACAAGAAGCTCTCCTCGCGCCGCGTACTTGTAATAATAATGTAGATCTCGAAGGAAACGGGGCTGACTGCCTGCCTGCCTACCAACTACTTGCCTTATATCATATAGAGCGCCGGAGAAAGACAAGATTTCATAAGGTCCGCCTTCCATATACGCGCGCGCACACGCCTTCAAACTTCCTTCGCTCGCAAAATTCCTCGAGCTAATAACGTTAATTAAAGCGGCAGAAACCTCAATTAATATCATCGCGCGCGGGCGGGCCCGCGCAAAAGCTCGCTCCCGCCTGTGCCTTGCCTTTCGCGTTTATTATGTACGCTCCATTCAGCAAAGATGCTCTTTCTTACTCGCGTGGAAACTGTTTCTTCCCTCTTGCGCTCTTGTGCCTCTCTCTCTTTCTTCATCCGTTTGAATTATATCTCGGATGATCTTAAACTGCTGATAAGCTATATATTTTGTAGCTCATAGATGGGCTCTCGTGTTATATGTTTGAGTTAAACGAACCTCGCGAAGGCTGGTGCTGTTGCTCTTTGAGGAGGGAATCTCAAAAAGAGCAATTTTTCGAGAATGCCTCGATTTTCGAGGGGCATCGAGTGAACCAAGTTTTCGAGGTTGGATCATGTAATGGTTCAGCTGAAAGTTTTCACTTGGCTGTATTTTTAGGGGGAAATAAACCCATACGCCAGAGAACTAACATAAATAGGAATGAAAGATTTTTTAAAGTACTATTACATGAATTACATTCTTCTGATAAGCGGTATACAAGTATAGATTTTAAAATTATATACAGTTACTTTTACTTTGCCGCTTGCAGATTTACTAAGAAAAGTATTCGCCATCTGGCGGTGGAGGTTTGAAATAGTATTATCGTATTAGTAGTGATTGAGAACAGGTATCAATGTTTTGAATCAATTAAATTGTTATTTTTAGGTTATATAAAATGTACTTAATATTTGTATCATAATTGTAACATAAAAATGAGCAAAAAAAAGCCAATTAATTGTCACGCATTGTAAAACATTATAAATGGTCTCAATGGTCCTTAGGTCATTATTCATGATCAGAATTTCTACCATGGAGATATAATAGTATGAACTTTGTAAATTCTCTTTTACCGTTCAAAATAGCAAAACGCAGTTTTTATGTTTAGAGTAAGAAAACAGTATATTTAACTATACTTAACAAGCGTATACTTAACTAGCATAAACTAACTGCTGCCGAAGCGCAACGATGGTAATATAAAACAATTAAAAAATCAAGTCTCATAGCTCATTTTATCATGAAAAGAATAAATATCAAAGCTGAAGTGAAGACAAGTAGGACTTGTGAGACAATCGACTCATTGGGTCACTACTCAAACGGAAAATCAAATAAATAATTTGATCAAAATTAATTAATCTACCATTCGTAAAATTGCAAGTACTTGGCCTGATTTTTATTAGCTGTCGAAATTTAGATGCAATAAAAGTGGACAAACGAGGCGAGAACACGATAGAACGGCAGCGAGTTTTCCGGGACACGAACGCGCGAACAAACAAAAGCCATTACCCATACCCTATTCCCGTGCACAAAAGCTCTGTTGCTGCTTCTTCCGAGAAGACATCGAGCTATCGGGACAAAAATTCTAAGGGAGAGTCAAGCTCGCTCCGAATTCCTCGGTTTCGCCTCCTCTCTCTCTCTCAGCTCGCCCACATAGCAGTAAGAAGTCGAGGCAGCAACCACCCTCCAAACGACTTTCTTCACCCTCGAAAGGAGAAAAATGAGAAGACAACCTCAAGACTTAGCCACAATCTGCGCGCCTACACCTCAAGATGCTGCTGCTTTCCGCCGCTTTCTTCTGAGACCCGAAGTTTGTCCCCTTTTATATAAGCGTGCGGCAAGCCGAAGAGAGAGACAGACAGAGAGGGAAGTTTTCTTCAATGAATCCGTGTCACGCGCAGCTAGGCTGACAAGCGGGAAGGTTGTTAAAAGTAACTCGAGCGTTTACCGCCTACTTAACCGCCTTCCGCGCGCGCGCGCGCCCGGGATTTATGGCTTATTATTATTTCCCGCCCGACTCAACTGGGTTAACGCGCGACGCGAAGCTGATTTTCTCACTTTTGTGAGACGTATACAGAGCGTAGGAGCCTCGTGGATAAATACGAATGATATATATTTTGACGTTTATGTATGCACGAAAATCATCCCCATATATTTACGTAGGTAGGATATACCATCGCAAAGTGATTTCTTTCATATGACAGCAGCCTAAAATCGGCATTTTTCTGCCCGTTGCGCTAAGATACTACATATCATTTTTGGGTCGCGGGGTATGAAAAATTGTGTACTGGCCTAGAGGATAAATACATTCCTATGTAACTTAATTAGAGAATTGAGACGACGTCTAAATTTTATCGACATAGTTCGATGAGCAAAAGGTGTTAGAGAAGTTGATTGATCTGGGAAAACGTCGGTAAGCCGACGAAGAGTTCACGAAAAAGGCGGGAAAAAAATAAGGGCGAATGCGACCGCGTCCGCACTCTACGACTTGGTTCAGTTACGACTCGAAGAAGCGGTGAAACGAGTCTCATACAGGGACCTCGGGGAGCTCGAGTACTAAAAAAAGGAGAATTTGCGAATTGCATCTGTGCTCACGATGTTGAGAGGATTTTTCGAGGGGAGAGGTCTGAATCCTTTTTTGCTGCGGAGGCGTGAACAGTTGCTAATGATCATCGAGCGAGCAGCTAATAACGAAGATTCGTAACTTATTATACATAAAATGAATGAATTTTTTCATTATTAAATTAATAAATTCATATGAATGAATTCTCAATGAAAATTGTTTTAACTTTACTTATTTCACGTTTACAGGACATTTCAGCTGAAATGATACGAGCTCTACTCTATTTTCGGCACAATAAAAGCAATCGAACTGCAAACACCACTGCCTCGTATCGATAAATTAAAAGTCAAGACGACTTAAAGCTTACATCCAAAAACGTTCGTATTTCGATAAAAGGACCCGATCGCCATTAAAATTGTTATCAAAGAATAATTTAAACGCTTACCTCGACCGCTTCTGCCGACGAACCTCAGATCGTTGAATTTGGCCACCTGATTCTTCATCAACGCCGTGGAATTTCTCAGCTCGGCGCAGCAGTTCTCGTCGTTGCCCGCTCGCACCGTGACCAGAGTGCCGTCGCCGACCTCGCCCAGCGCCACCACCTTGAAGGCCATGGGCAACGTTTTGTTCGATCTCCAGTGCGTCGGCAGGACCGTGCACACCAGATGAGGCGAGCCTGCGCGCGAACGCAAACGATCGTAATGAAAAAAAGCTCGAAATGAATCACATTATAGCTAGGTGAAGACAAAAAAGCTCACCCGTTTTGACGAGCTCGCCCGGATGCTCGCTCATGTAGTCGCCCAGCGTCTTCTCCGCGAAAATGTCGCTGGTCATTTTCGTGTAAGCGTCGGCCAGTGGGGAGACGCCGCTCTCGGGCGACGCTGCGCTACCCGGCGCCGACGCTCCGGTCAGCTGCATCTTGGCGGACGACGAGTCGGCCACCACTTGGTTCTTCGTGACACTGCTCGTGTTGTTGTTGTTGTTATTGTTGTTATTATTGTTGTTGTTATTGGTGCCGCTGGTCGACCTGCCAGCGGTCACCGACGAGTGCTCGCCGACTGCCAGGTTGCTGCCGACGCTGTTCGCTGCTGCAGACGACGACGAGCGCGACGGTGGATGCGCGGGCTGGCTCGAGGCGACGACGTTGCTGCTTATGTGGTTGCTTTGATGCTGATGCTGCTGATGCTGCTGCTGCTGTTGATGGTTGAGGGCCTGGTGAGGTTGAGCTTGATGATGACTGTGATGATTCAGATGATGGCTGCTGTGATGGTGAGGATTGAGGTGATTGTTGTGATGATGATGATGATGATGGTGATGGTGATTGTGATGCGACGGCACCGCAGCAGCTACACCACCGACAAGGCCAGCGCCGTTGCACCGGCTGAATATATCCATAAGCGGGGACGCACCCCTCGCTTCGTCTCGATTCGCTATCGGGTGCTTTTTATTCTTTTTGGCTATTTTTCTAATCGATGTATGGCTTCGGCTTATGTCTAGTTTTTATCGGTCGATATCTTCGTGACTATTTCATTCTTGTATGCTTCGACGAGTGCACGGCAATTATGACGATTGAAAGTCACTTTCGTGAGATCTGAAAGTAGTCGACGAATAGGATGGATTAATTCAACTCTTTTTACTATGGAATTTCAATCGATGTCGAGTAAAATAATGATCATAATAATGCAAGAGAATACAATGTGTCAGGTGGATGCAAAGAAGGCAAAGAGCGAACCCTCGTCGTCATCGTCCGACTCACTCTCCCTCTGCCGAGCGTCACTTCACCCTAATTCGATTCATTTAACGTCGGCTCATACGTGTGCCGCTGTATATACGTATATACAGCACCGTTGACGTAGCTGAGCTCGGCAGAGAAGCTTCTCTCGAAGAGAGAAAAGGTCGCCTTTGTGTCAGCCACGATTGCGTGAATCCTTCAGCGGCGGCAAAAGAGGGTTAGAGAGAAAAGGACGACGCTACGCGACGCGTAGGCGTATAACGTATATAGTCGCGCGCGTGCGACGTCTAACCACCTATAGTCCTTCTATCTATACATTAAAACTCGACCAGCTTTTCACGTGGATCTCTTTCTCTCCCTTTCACGGAACAGCGGCAGCACCCACCCCTGGCCTCACTCTTAAACTCGCCTTTCTAAGTACACAATGTTTTATCGTGAACATGCGCGACGGTAGACACTGAAACATTTCTTGCCCGTAGCTAAAAGAGAGAGAGAGAGAGAGAGAGTTTATAAGCGCTTTTGATAATGCTATTTGAACGTACTCGACGCACAAGTATTTCATCCCGTCTTAATTTTCACTCGTTTACCACAGGCTTCTCTTTGAAATCATTTTTTTCATTGATTTCTATTGTTCCGATTTCATTATTAATGAGTATCTTTACTGCTTGTTTTTAAATCAAAATGCGAGCTTTAACTATGAGTATGAAATTTCAACTAAAAATATAAGAGCACGTACATAGTTTCTAATTTTAATACCGCGAGCATCTCAATCAATCCAAATCTAGCGTGTAATTCAGCGCGGCAATAATCACGCGCGTACACAACGAATAATCCAAGCCAACTGCGAATGAATTCCGCAAGCTCGACTTGCACGCGATACACAACTTTTTTTCCTCTTTCGTCCTTTTCTCGCTCGTTCTCGCGTTCCTCTCCTTCTTTTTACTCTCGCAGAAAAACACTCGTAGTCATCGGTTTACCGACACTGCGTTCGCCGCAAAACAACAATCGAGGCAGAATATATCGGTGGCGAGACGCGTGTATAATCGTGTCCGGGGCACACTCCGAGTTTTGTGCAAGCCCCCGCACTTACTATGAATTTGTCATGCGAGCCAACGGTGCCTGATTTTTTTATCATTTCTTTCTTCTATCTCGTCCCGCGTACACGATCAACCTACAAACGCAAGGACACGAGCTTTCGCTCTGTACAGGCGCATGTCACACACGCGTGTTCTCGCGCGCGTCTATTTTTTCCTTTCTCTCTCTCTCATCCTCTCTTCTCTTTCCTCGTTCGCCGAGCTTTCGCCGTGCGCGCTTTACTTTTTTTCCCCTATTCGCCGGTGTGTGCGCGGGTGACGTCAGCGTTCATTCAGAAATTTTTGCAGCACGACGCGACACGCACACGCGTTATATCTCGAAAGAGAGGGTATACAGAGGCGGGTGGTAGTTGACACGATCGTTTTCATGCCTGTAAGCGACGAGTGCGTGCGTGAGCGTATATACATACAGCGAAGCGACGGTGGGAGGTAAAAAATAGGGGGAAAAGCGGCACGCGCGAGAAAGAAAGTCGCGGAAACCCCCACGCCACTGTTCGTGTGTATATACGCCAACTGCTGCCGGGGGGACTATATCATGCTTTCGCTCGCTCTCTCTGCCTGTGTCCGTATACCTACGATTATGCCGCTATAAGCCGTGTGCAAGCTCTGTTTACAGCGGCGCGTGTACAGCACTTGTATGTTATATGGCGTGGGCACATACAGGGGCTATACGCGTGTCAAACGTACACACGGACGGACGCGCCGAGTTCGTATATAAATCGTCGCTCGCTGCTACTGCTGTATACGGCTCGAAAAGCACGTGGCACGAGGACGACGACGACGACGATGCACTCGAGAGTGTAAAGCTCGTATGATAATTAATGAAGATTGCTCGTATACACTTGAGAGATGGACCGAGCGACGGATTCTATATAGTTCGTTATGATTGACTACTGATTTTGCTTGAGTGGAGCTTTCGGAAGGTTCATTGTTTAAGTCTACGTTTTCAGTCGGTTCATTATGTTTAAACTTGATTAAATATTTTGAACTTGAACCGAGAAGAAGATTCAAAGATTTATTGAAACAAAACAAGCAATTTAATTGTCCCTCTAACCGATGTCGGACACCATTTGTCTTATGTTTCAATACTTCAAATCGTAATAAAAATAGTGAAGCTTTTCATTTGTTTGTTAAAAACCGAATTCTAGTCTTTATCTCTTGTATCGCAAATTGTACCTAACTACCATACATGAAATTACAGGAAATTCCCTTTGTTATTTTAATCAAATATCTTCAAATTATAACAATATGATGTCAAAAAGTACCCATTACTCATCATTTTTCAGTATTTTAAGTATATTCTCTCGAATTGTATGATTCAAACATTCCCATAAAGCTCACGATAGATCTTATAAATGAAATTGGTTCCGGCAATCGATTTAAACGAACAATCAAACTTTTGATTGCGTTCATTTGACAAATTGTAAAAGCCGTAAATTATTTTACATTAATAAATATTTTCCTATTTAAAGCCTAACATAAATTCAATTATCACTCGTGAAAACATACTAAGCACCGATAGAATTTGCACGATCAAGTAAACTCTGTGCGCTTATTACGGAGTAAAATTCTAAGATTCCCGCTCAACTTTGCATTCAAGTCTCTTGGCTCTCGCTCTTCGCACATCTTATGCACCACCCCCACCTAAGGAAGCTCGATTGAAAAATCGCAGCGCCGTAATAAAACTTCACTCGTCTCCACATCGTCTTACCGATGACAGTTCATCGATCATGTCGACGATAACAATGGTCGCGAGGAAAGAGCAGTCAATCGAGAATGTATCAATATCGTTCACAATCCTGCCACTGATAAATTCATCTCACTCTTTATGATCACTCGAACGAATCATTTGCGTCGAAAGATCTCGGATCGGCGCTTTCGAAAAAATCAACACGCACGTCGCGGTCCGCGCACTGTTTATATACATTCACAACAACGACAGATCGATCGCAGGAGACGCACACGCAATAACGAAGCACACAGCTGAGTATGTAGTATAATAATTATAAAGTTGCGCGATATAGGCCTCGAGACAGATCGAAACTCGCGCGATGAACGTTGCAAACAAACTGACTATCTGACCGTAGCGCGGTGGAGAGCTTGGAGGAGCCCGACGAGAGCGAACGACGAGCCCGCAGCTTATGTGTATGTGTGTGTGTGTGTGTGTGTGTGTTCTGCCGCTACTGCTGCTGCTAAGTATAATTTGGAAGCGGTACGTGTGAGGCAACAGCCGTTGACGCACTGGTCCATGCCTACACACTCTCAGCGGCATCCCTTTCCAAGCTACGGCTGCTGCTGCTGCTTGCCTCTCTCTCTTCTCTCTCTCTCTTTCGTACGTACGTATATATATCGCGTGTACGTGTATATATACACACTCATCCACACACAGACCGTGTGGGTTCGCTATATAGATTGCACGCGCGATTCCCCTCTTCGCAAGCTCGACTCGACTCGACTCTCTCTCTCTCACTCTGGTGTATACCTAGTTTAGCTCCATGCTTCTCTCTACACCCCTTCTACGCTTTTTAGCTCCTCTCTCTCACTCGATAACGAACCCCTTCCCTCCCTTCCTACTCCTCCGCCTCCGATATATACATATAAATATATCTATATATACGTATATTTATATATACGTATATAGTGCATATATTCTATTCTTGCTCGTTCTATCTCGCTCGCTCGCTGTGCGCTCCTCGCTGTATGGCTGCGCTGGTCAGTTCTGCGGTGTGGCGCGGACCTTATATAGGTGTACTATTTTATACGCGCGCGCGCGTGTACAAGCGTGTCCGTGTGTGTGTGTACGAGTATATAGCACACACAAGCCTACATAATACACGTATATAAATTTAGCAGTAGGAAAGCTCGCTGCTAGTTCTCGCTGCTGCTGCTTTTTAGCCCAACCCTGCAAACTCTGCGGTCCGAGCTTACTACTACCACTACTACCTTATACAGCAGCTACAACTCAACCTTGACTGTATCCCAACGAGAGAGAGAGAGATCCCGAGGAAAAAGCCTTTCTTGTCCTTTCGCGCAGAACTTTGAGAGAGAGAGAGAGAGAGGGACAGAGAGATACGCGCAGGAATGGCAGAAACAAAAAAGACTTTTAAATCCTAGCCTTGAGGTTTTAATTGGACCTTTTTTCTCTACTGCCCCCCGCGTAAAAAGGCTTGATTCTTTCGAGCGAATTATTTTTCACCTCCGTTGATGAATTAAAATTTCCTCTCGTCTTATTTTTTTATTTTTGTTCTCCCTCTCTTTCAGACCGAAACATATTTTCTCGAGTAATGATGATAATTACTCCGGGAGTTCATTTTCATCGAATGCTAATGGATTGTGAGTCTGAAATAAACTCGCCGCGTTCCAGGTAAAAATATTAAATATCAACGATTGCCTGATGAACGGCATATATTACCATTAGTTGGCTGGTTTTTGGAGATTTTGCTGCTACAATTGAGTTGAAATAACTTGAAAATAACTATATAATGGCTTCGAAAAAGTTTATATCACTTTCGATAGGCTCATGCTGCTTCCAGCTTTCATCGCTAGATGGCTGGTACTTGAAAATGTAAATCCGCAAGTGGCAAAGTGATCATAATTGTATAAGTCAAAGCAACATTTTGTGAACGGCTGTTAAAAAATAACTTTTGCTAATTTGAATATTATTATTGATCACGATACTGCTGTGACGATTAGTGAAAACTCCTAGATCATTTCTCTCGCTAATTTTGATCAAAATTATTTTGAAAAATCATGTATATTCAATCGTAATTAAAACTAGACTCCGCCACTAGATGGTCAATGTCTACATCTGTAAATCAGCAAGTAGCAAAGTCAAAATATAATGACATAAGTCAACATGTCTCATTCCCGATATGTTCGAAATTATGTTTTCCGGCTGCGAATTTTTTATAAGAAAAATATTAAAACTCACGCAACATCACATTGACGAATCAAACAATCCATCGTAATGCTCAAACCCCCGTTCGATCTTCAACAAAATAAACACCGCGTCTAAAACCTCGGGGAAAAAAGCACTCGGTGCGGCGCGCGGTGCACGGCAGCCGCTGCTTTAACGCGCAAAAAATTCCACCGCACGCTTCGCCCGATGCGCGCATATTCGATAATCCCTCGACCTCGAAATTTGTTGCTTTTTATTTTTTTCTATCGCGCGTACAGCGCTTCACGCATACACGTATAGATAGTTGTTTATACATTCGTCGCAGGAGTCTAGGATTCTGAATTTCCTCGCCAAAATCCGTCGGATCGCTGCAGATTCGATCGATGCATACGTATATATATATATGCGCCACGGTGCGCACAGTGTCACCCTAATAAACAAACGCCTAGCACTCCCTCGCCTCTAGCTAGCTGCTGCAGGTGGACTCGATATTTGTCGAGTATAGGGCGGACAAACATGCATATGTACGCGTGCACACGTGGAGCAGCCGGCCGTACGCCACTCCGCCGACGCGTATTTGATTTTGCTAAAGCAAAGTTGGGGCTCTCTCTCTCTCTCTCTCTCTCGCTCTCTCGATTCCGGTTTCGCGTGATACGTATACTGTATATACCGAGAGTTTTGCATCCATCCATAGACGCACGCACACACGCGCTCGTGCCTACTTTTCAGTTTCCCGATTAATGCAACGCCGCCGCCGCCGCCGCCGCCGCCGCCGCGACTGTTATCTCGGTCCCCTCATTTCAGCTCTTGATTGATTCGTTTGCACCTTTCTACGTGTGCTTATGCGTATCCGGGGGTTTCTTTTGATCAATGATTGCAAGACGTTAGTTTTCGAAACTTTGGTAAAGTCTAATAGCAAAGGGTAAAGTCGATGCCGATTCAAAAGATCGATCTTTTGAGAATTGTAAATATTCTCCATGGTAGCAGAAATGCTTTTTACTCATTCGTAAGATTGGCAGAATTAAAAATTTCATTTTTTTGCTCGTGTTGCTTCATTCGAACCTCTTGTGAAACTTTTGATGTTTCTTCAATACCCTAGTTTGATAGAAATGCTTATATCTATCAGCTTCTATCAGCTGATCCTTAAGATCAGTAATGACCTGTTAATTTTATTAATTACCTCACTATTGAGTGGCTTGTTTTTGGCAATTTTTCATTGAAATTTTGCACAACAGTTGCATACATTTGGAATGACCTGAAAAAGGCAATTAAATTATTTGGAAATAATTTAGACCAACCTCAACCTATTCAAATATGTTAATACTACTTTAAGCATCCACTACTAGATGGCGAGTACCTTAATCTGTAAATCTGCAAGCGACAAAGTCAAAATTATCGTATATGTAAAGCACAGGAGTGAGTTTTTCATATTTAATTTTAGAAATTCGATAATATAAAATAGAACTCCCTGCTTTCTCTCTCTCTCTCAGTCTCTCTTGCCCAGTCATTGCATTACATATTGACAAACGAGCTTGCAACAGCAGGAGAGCGCCCCAGTAATTTATAAGCGCGCGCGCACACACACACACACATCCACATCTATATATCGCAAAATTCGAACGTATCTATGCAGCACAGTAGCAACAGCAGCAGTTCGAAAGCTCGGGACACACGAGCAAGCAAGCAAGCAAGTATATGGTTAGTTGAATTCGACGAGATTTGAATTATCTCGGCTAGGTAGCGAGAGAAAGCTTGTCAATTGTAAATGCTATACACACTATATGCGCTCGGTTCCCCCGCGTCTATGCATGTGCGATCGTTATATCTATATGCGCTATGTGTACGCTTCAATCGGCGAACGTTCGTCACGCACGATGAGGCGCGCACCTCGCTCTATTTCTAGCCTCGGCTGCACAAATGTGTGCGTGTGTGTGTCCTGTGCTATCCGTCGGTCGACGCACGGCGCACTTTCCTCTCCAAAGGCAGATTTGAATCTATCATCCCCGGTGTACAATATGCCTATGTATCATCATCGTAGGGTTTGTAACGTACTGCTTTTCCAATTTCGCGGTATTGCTCGGGCTGCTGCACCCCGCGTTTGTAATAGATCCGTGTACATCGGCGATGTTTGTCGAGAAAGCTCGCGCGCCCCCGCGTTCCTGTGCGGTCGCCAGCCAACGATCGAGTGCACTCGAAAACGATATAACGAGTAAAAGAAAATCTCGTGCCCTGAAAACAGCTGAACGGTCGTTTTTAACTGTATCAGTATTACGAGCTCTCTCTCTCTCTCTCTCGGTCAGAAACACAAAACGAGCAATCCGATAAAGCTCGACCACGCGTACGCGAGACGAGAATGATATATAAAATGAGAGACAGTAGGCCACACACGAAGCAGTGCAAAAAAAGAGAGCTATAGAACGTGCAAGAACAGCACGTGGCACACTCGTGCAAAAAAAAAAAAGTCGCGCGTGCGTGTATAATTCGGGCCGTGCGCATACTTATACGAAAGAGCAGAAAGAGATAAAGGGAACGAGAGAAAGAGAGAGAGAGAGAGCAAAAAAATAAAACAAGAGCTTTCGTCATTCGAGCCATCGCGCGGCGGTGGCGGCTCGTTTGAAACAAAAAAGCTGCGCGAGCAGGTCTGCGTGCTTGCAGCTTTTTATATTCTCAATGTATACGCGGCGACGGTGGTAGTGGTGGTGGTGGTGGCAATGTGCGTTTTTGCATCTCTCTGTGCGTGCACACGTATAAAAGAGAGAGAAAGAGAGAGGGGTGAGGTATAGGTTGCCACGTGTCGAACCTCCCCTTGCATATACTACGATTGTATACAAGCTCTCGAGTGTCGCGTTTAGTGTATATATACCCCTACTCGTTCACTCGTCAACATTTACTTCCGCTTGCTTTTTCCGTTTTTTTTTTCAGTTTCTCTCCTTCCTCTTCTTGTCCTTTTTTATATACACACTTTGTCGCGTGTACGCGCCTCTGTTGCTTCTGTTGCACACCAGCGTAGAATGCCATCCAACTTGCAATCCCAATACAGCACGAGTGAATGGCAGACATCTTTCAAAATCATCTCATAACGATGATGACTCTTTTAACGAAAGCCTAAATTCGTTTGCATGTACGCGAAGGGCGTCTAATTATTCATTT